CAAAAAAAAAACAGTTTCTCTTATAATATTGCTTTTAATTCATTATTAATTTAAAAGACAGGAACAACCGACTCCATTGAAAACTGAGCTTAATAGCTGGATGCCAACAATTTTTTTAGTGGGAAATAACAATTTAAGATTAATTTTAATTGTGTTATAAGGGTAAAAAATTTAACTTTATCAATTAATTAAAATTCATCTTAAATATTTTTAAAAGGTACAAAATAAAAATTAATACTACTTCTAATCTTTTTTATAAGAAACAATTGGAACCAAGAAAAGTAATTAAGTGTAGTTAATAATTTGTATATTTAATAATATTAATAAAAAAATATAAAATAAATTTAACAATTAATGCATCTTGAATGTATTATTTATTTTTTATAATAAAAACAAAAAAAATACTTCATTTTATTTCTATAAAAAAGACTAAAGATAATAATTTTTAAGATTTTATTAACTTCAACTCTTAAAATTAGAGATAAATAATTAATAATAATGAAATTTTATTAAATACTCATCCATTTACTTATCATGCAGCTTATAAATGTCTTTATCCCAACTACCAAATTGATGAAACAAAAATATATCTATATTTAAAATTTAATGATTAAATAAATAAAATTATATTTATCTTTCTTTATTAGATGTAAGTTATTGTTCTTAAATTATAGTATTTTTAGGGATCCAGATTCCCTCCGGTTCACGCGGGAACTGGACGTCTAATCATTTTTTTGCTTAAGCGAAAAAATTCGCTTAAGCGAAAATGAGTTATTTTCGCTTAAAATCATAACAAAATGGCTTAAGCCAATTTTTATAAAACAAATGGCTTAAGCGAAAATAATAGGCTTAATTGAAAAATGGACAGAGAGTTTTAATTTTTACTCAATTTTCTTTTCTCCTTTCCCCTAAACATAACATTTCCTCCTCAACAATATTTCGGTACTCTACTAGTTATTACTTACAACAGAACCGGTATACTTGCCATGTTTGAAGGAAAATAAACCAATACTCTTATACTTAACTCTTTTCTTTCCCTCCTAACTCTCTTTTCCTTCAACCTCATACCTAACTTCTCTCCTCTTCTTCTCATTCTCACATCACCAAATACCTATCTCTCCCTTTTTTTCTCTATACTCAACTCTTCAATTTCCTCTTCTTCCACCGTCACTACTATATCACCCGCTCTCCTTGTCTACATCCATTCTTAATCTTCTATTTTCTCTACACTCAACTCTTCACTTTCTTCTTCCTCCACTGTCAAAATTTTTTTATACAAAATTAGCTTAAGCTAATTTTTCTGGCTTAAGCGAATTGTGTATTCGCTTAAGTGAATTATTTTATCTTAAGTGAATGTTGTGTATTTGAAGATATGAAGGCTGAGTGTAGAGAAAAGAGAGGATTAAGAATGGATGTAGACAAGGAGAGCGGGTGATATAGTAGTGACGGTGGAAGAAGAGAAAATTGAAGAGTTGAGTATAGAGAAAAAAGAGAGAGATAGGTATTTGGTGATGTGAGAATGAGAAGAAGAGGAGAGAAGTTAGGTATGAGGTTGATGGAAAAGAGAGTTAAGAGGGAAAGAGAAGAGTTAAGTATAAGAGTATTGGTTTATTTTCCTTCAAACACGGCAAGTAATAACCAGTAGAGTACCGAAATATTGTTGAGGAGGAAATGTTATGTTTAGGAGAAAGGAAAAAAGAAAATTGAGTGAAAATTAAAACTCTCTGTCCATTTTTCGCTTAAGCCTATTATTTTCGCTTAAGCCATTTTTTTTCGCTTAAGCCATTTGTTTTATGAAAATTGGCTTAAGCCATTTTGTCATGATTTTAAGCAAAAATAACCCATTTTGGCTTAAGCAAATTTTTTCGCTTAAGCGAAAAAAATGACTGGACGTCCAGTTCCTGCGTGAACTGGAGAGAATTCGGATCCTATTTTTAGAAACTGTCTTATATAAATGTATTTTTTGGTTTGTTTTTTCTTTTTTATATCATTTTACTTTTTTATATTCAATATATAATTAATTTCATATTTTTTATTTAATTTAGTTTTATTTAATATAGTAAGGTATTTATTACCAAGTAAAAATATTTTCTCATTTTAAAATTGGTAAACTTTATTAAAATTTTAAAAAAATATGTAATATATCTTCATAATTTATTTACAAAAATTATTTTAATTTAATAATATTCATTTAGAAAATTTTTATCAATATATATAAAGTTTTTATGTGATAAGTAGGGATGAAAATGGATCAGACTGCTCGTTGGAGACCTATGACTTAGCCTATTTAAGATTTAAACTGAATTGACTCGTTTATTAAAAAGGTTAAGTTTAAACTTTTAAAAAGACTTATTTAAATAAAGAGATCAGACTTAAATTTTTTTAAAAAAATTCAAGCCTATTGAGTAGTCTAATTAAATAATTATTTTATTTTATAATTTTATTTATTTATTTGTAACAATTTAATATAAATATAATTGTCCAAAAAAATTATACATATATATATAACATAATTTAGTATGTAGTCTATAATAATATAATAATTATAATTATACTATTAGAGTACAAAAAATAAAATTTATCATAAAAAAAAATATCAATTTAAACTTTGTCTGATTTTTAAAATATCTCAATTTATTATTAGAATTCATTATTTCTCAATTCTTATTCTAAATTTTTTAATTTTTTAATCTTAATATAATTCTTTAAAACTTTGTGAAGTTATTGAATATGATCATTTTAAGATATGATATCTGTGAAGTCATTTATGTATTTTTTTTTTACTAAATATGGTATTTAAATATAATTACTTATCATATATTTTCTATTTTACTAATAATAGGTTTTTTGACTTGTTAGCCCGTTGGTTACTAGCTCATTGGCCTATTGACCCATTAAATTTAAATTATTAGTATTATTTGAAAGCTTTACTATTAAATAAGCTACTAGGTTAAGTCAGACTTCTAAAAATACGAGGTCAAGCTTAAAAATTTAGCCTATGTTAAGTCATAAGTTTAGGCTTAGACTCTAATTTTATGTAGTAGGTCAAACTCATTTAATCTCTGGCCTAACTCGACTTAACCCATTTTCATCTCTAGTGATAAGAATGCGAAATTGATATAACGTGATCCTTGTGAAATTATTTAAGATTGATTTACTTAAATATATTTTTCATGATGTAAGATTAAACTATTATAGTTATCTTTATGGGCGCACACTTCTTTTATATATAGTTCATTTAATACAAAATTTATTTGCAATCAATTTTGTAATTACCAAATTCAAACTAATTAACAATGAAATTCAAACACGGATTTTAGGTTGGAGTTTGCACGTTATTAAGATCTACAATGTTGGACAAAATTCCAATGTGAAAATCATTTCTTAAAATATAATATCTATACAAATACACTTTTGAACTAGTCAAATGAATGAAGCATCACACCTCTTAATTAATGAATATAATTTAATAAACAAAAAATATTCAAACAGCTTTGCAAAATTACATATGTATATATGTATATCTAGAAAAATTATTCATAAATGTAATTATAGTAGCACCTCCTAAGTCCAACCTAAGAATCTAATTGGCATATTTTCCTTCATCTACATGTAGAGTAAATGTCTACGCTATAAAATGGAGCTATAATTACAATCCCTTCTATATTTCTACAAGTATTAGGAAAGACGTAGAAAGGTCAAGTTTGAAAGCTAGCACACACAAATTTTTTTCCATGAGATTCACCTTTGAATATGAATTTGAATTGTTTTGTCCTCATCATGTTCTGCTTGACTTCGCTCTTGTATTTTCCATCAGATCACTTACTATTCAAATAATTTAACTTTCCACCTTTGAGAGCTTTAGAAAAAAGTTTCAAAATCTTGTCAACCTGGAACTCCCACGCACACAACAAATGAAAATGTCCAATTTTATATACGCATAATGGTCTGATATAACCTCAAAAGCATTCCCACCTTAACTTTCTAACTTTTAAGCCTATGTCATGGAAATGGGAATCATCCTCTTTTTTAAGGCTAAGGCTTAGTAGCACAAAAGTTCTCCGTATGCTCAGATAGTGGCAGCCTTCAATAATATATATTATATATATCAAGATGGGGCACTTGCATAATTTTGCAAGATTTACTCAATCAATGAGATCACATTGACTTTTGCTTGGCTCATTTCATTTTAGTGAGACTATTAAATCCGTACATAAATTGAGTATTAATACAATCTTATCAAATTCATCAGCATATACTTATTTTTGGTTTAGCATTCGCTAGTAATTAATAATCATTTACAAACCACTAAAAGTTGGGTCTAATCAAAAGATTGGTTTTCCGTAAAGCAGCAGACCACAGGTTGAATCTTCGTTGAGAGAAACATTCATTAAGTGTTCAGTTGAATTTCAAACATGATTGTTTCCTAGTAAAAATAGGGTGAAAAACTTATTGTGAGATATTTCATCAAAATGAAATTATATATATTTAACTATACACATTTATGCAATAAACATGCTTCAACTTTCTCCAACGTCGAACACCTGTAAATTCTCTGACATATTTGGGAGAACAAGCCAATCCTCGTTCACTTTGGTTTTCCTACTACAAGACAAAGCGTGCCCTATTCTTGTCCACAAAAGCTAAAGGGAAACAAAAGGGATACTCTATCAAATTTTCTGTTTTTTTCCCCATTTGCTGAATGAGTGAAACATTATCATGAAATAAAGAAAAAGGTTTCTTTATTTCTTCCTTTCTTTTTTTTTTAATATTTAAGACTTTGAGATGCCACAATCTTTCTGAATTGTTTGTTCCTTCTTTTGTCTTACTCAACGATATTCCTTCGTAGCCAAAATCCGACACAACATAGTCCAATAGCCAACCTTCACCCAATTGTATTGTATTATTCGTATTCTTATAATATTTATATACATAGGTTAGAATCAATCAACCACACCCAACATATCTCTAGCTTTCTACCTTGCAATTTCAACTTTGAAATGGCCACTACTCTCTCTGAGGCCTATAGAGACTACCCTCTCCACCTCCATCATATTATCCCCTTAGACTTTTCTTCAATAAAGACCTTACCTGATTCCCATGCATGGCCTCAATCTGAAGATTATGATAATGATGGACCTGAATCATGCATACCCATCATTGACCTCATGGATCCTAATGCCATGAAACTAATAGGCCTTGCTTGTGAGAAATGGGGTGCTTTCCAATTGAATAACCATGGCATAAACTTGAGTGTTATTGAAGAGGTTGAAGAAGAGGCAAAGAGGCTCTTTGCTCTCCCCGCCGACCGGAAATTGAAGGCCCTAAGATCTGCCGCTGGCGCCACCGGATACGGCCGAGCTCGGATATCTCCATTTTTCCCCAAGCACATGTGGCATGAGGGGTTTACCATCATGGGTTCTCCATGTGATGATGCCAAAAAAATTTGGCCTAATGACTATGCACGGTTTTGGTAAGTACAAATGTTACAATCTCATGCACTTCCATGCAACGTGGACACCCATATGCTAATAGAGACTTACTTTGATAACATTAAGTTTTTCTCGGAAAGGAAGCCATTACAATATGTTGCTGTTTCGAGTCTATACTTGGAATTAGTGAATCCTATCAATTTGAATTTTAAATAATTCATTGAACAACTCATACAGTAAACAAGCATGCCTTAGTTTCATTAGTTCTCTCTCTCCCAGATAAAATAATACATGAAAGAATAAATAAAACTTGTTAGTTTTGTCCTCATTAGCTTTATGATTAAATCCTTTTATGCCATCACATGGACATGCATGATAAAATAATTAATAAAAGGTAAGGTTAGAGATTTGTATCAGCTTTAAATATGCAATTAAAGATATCCTTTGAATATTATACACATTGTACTCCAGTCTGATGTTTTACAACATCTCACCTACCTAAGAACAAAATCATAACTTAAGGTTTTCTATCTGGTTTAATAATTCTAATGATTGTATCAAGCAATGATCTAAATAGACCTCTTAGTAGTCTAATCGTAATAAACTGGTGTTAGAATATTCTTTGTACTCCCTTTACTATATATATATATAACATAATGAAATTAACTCAAAATGCTAGGCAATACTTAAATCAAGTTCTTTATATATTTTTGTCGTTAAATATTTCTAATAAAATGACCTTTCCGATATTAAATAATCTCTATTAAATATGAATTATAAAACTTTATATTAAAAATTCAAACATGTCATCATTTAATTAGAGAAAAGATATTAAGAAGGTAAGAGAATTGTGCTAATTAATTACTTTATCCATTCAACAAAATACCTTTATACAAAACCTTGATATCTAAAAGCTAATAAATATGTTTTTGTGCAGTGGAATAATGGAGAATTACCAAAAGCAAATGAAGGCACTAGCTGAGAAGCTAACACACATGATATTCAACTCATTGGAAATTTCTGAGGAACAAAAGAGGTGGGTTGGTTCAACCAACCTATGTGAAGCTGTTCAACTAAATTTCTACCCATGTTGTCCAGAGCCTGACCGAGCCATGGGTCTAGCCCCTCACACGGACACATCGTTTCTCACAATCCTCCACCAAAGCCAAACCAATGGCCTCCAAATCTTCAAGGAAGGTGCAGGATGGGTTCCGGTGCACCCTCACCCTAACACCCTTGTTGTGAACACTGGTGACATTCTTCATATTTTGTCCAATTCAAGGTTCCGTTGTGCTCTACATCGTGTCACAGTTAATAGTACTAAGCATAGATACTCAATGGCTTATTTTTATAGCCCCCCATTAGATTATGTAGTGTCTCCTTTGGTCGTTAATTCCATACCCCATTTTCGGACTTTGACTGTGAAGGAGTATATTGGCATTAAAGCCAAGAATCTTGGGGGAGCATTGTCTTTGATTAGTATGCTTAAAAGCTAAGTCCACATATAATTTTTGCCCCTTTTTTGAATGATTAAGATCATCTATTCCTATTTTTTTATTTTAAAATAGGATTTCATTTTAATACATTATTAATATAAGAACTTTTATGCTGGTAATTAATTAGATAACTACTAAAACACGTATGCCTTTTAAATAGTTATAAGAAAAATGAATGATCATATGATGATTTTAACATTATAAAAAAATTATGTCATTGATATATATTTTTTATGAGAGAAAAGAATGAATATAATTGAAGAGACACAAGTCCAGTGTGAATACGGAGTGTTAATATTGATAATATCGATGAAGTGTAATTAATTTTTTTTTAAAACATGATGTTATTGATTAATAAGTTTTATTTTTTGTTAGCATGTTATTTTATGAGAATAAGTGAGCTTTATGAGTTGCTTTTTTTTTTAACTCAACTTTATTATATAAATAACTGAACATGATTATTATTATATATTTGCTATTTATTTATATACATATATTTAAGAAACATAGCTAAAAAATAGTTGTCCCCGATGATTGTTCAAATACTATTTTCGTTTCAAAGTTTGCATCACGATTAGTTGAAAAACTAGGACGCACGTTGAAAATCAAAACATGCTCTTGGTTCCTATAATCCTACCTATGCATCAGAACTTATCCTGGGATGTGGCAGAAAAAAAGAATAATAATAATAATAATATTGTTACATAAACTTTTATTTATATTTTTTATTTTTATATTATATTTTTTTATTTTTCTTTTTTTCGGCATTATTTCACATCCAGAAAGGATGAGGAAAAAACCTTTCCTTAAATGCAAATGAAGTTACTACTTATCTCTCATAGTTATACTTTTATAGTACAAAATTGATGTCCCATATAAACTTCAATAATGATATTTATCTCATTTCCCATTAATTTATTTTTACAATAAAATAAAATCAATATTACTTCTCACCTTTATTTTTAAAAAAGGTAGTGTAAAATAAAATATTTTCTTTGATCTTGAGCTTCATATATAGTTTGAACGTGCACGTGTCCTTACTCGGTGTTCAATGCCCAGCCCCCAGCTAACCATATATAAATTAAGTTATTATTTTTTTATGCTTGGATGCTTTATAATAAAATGATATATAATTAGTCTCTGTCAGCAAGACTTTAAATCCAGCTTACCCATTTTTTGTATTTATCTGTGCATTACTCGTAGACTCGTAGATACCTTTTCCTTGATTATGTGGAGTCATTTGTATGGTTGTGAACATAGGCAAGACTGTGTTTTGTAATGTAAACAACAACACCTAATCCCCACACGTATCTGCTTCCTAATTAGTTGACACTTGCCAGTTGAATAAGTCTTTAGAATTATTATTTTATTTTAATTATTTTTGTAAAAATATATGAAAAATATTAAATAACATCTTAATCATTTTAAATATCATAAATTTACTTTTAGAATGAATTTTCTTAATTTTAAATTTCTTTTATCTTTTCGCATAAGTGTAATTATTCTCTTGTAAAATGAAAATCCATCAATGATAATACACATTATTCTTAAATCTTATATCTCATTTTCTTTTCTTATTTTTAACATGCTATTATAGAGTTGTATATACCGTTATCTATATCATGTTTTACAAATTGCTCTGTTGCCAAGCTTTTTGTTACTTTCAATTAGTTTCGCTTAATTGCTGTGCCTTGGTTTCGTTTTGCCTAATTCATATCCCTTGACCAGTTTCACCCAATCTAAGAAGTAGTTTCACAAGTAATTGCATAATATAATACTAACTTCAAAAATTTCAGGCAAGGCATAGGTTATCAAACAGATCATATATGAAATACGAAATATAAAACCCATCAATCTTAGCTCCATTTCATGTCCAACATCTTAATTTTGTCGATTATAGCACTTTATTAGAATCTATTTGGTGATTATTAAAATAAAATCATTTATAATCGTCAGAAAAAACCAAATCACACCGAAAATGAAGTCATTTTTGCTTTCTTGTTAAATTGAAATCCAACGTGTTGAAGAAAATGATTCTTGCAGTCCTTGGCATGACCATTTGGAGATCCATCCATCATATATATTCATTTGTAACAAGATAAAGTTAAAAGTTTTAGTTTAAAGAGAAGTGTTAAAATATACAAAAGTATCAAATAATAACTTGATTATTTTTTAGAATATTTTATAATTTTTTTTTCTGATTTATTAGTTTCTTTATTTCTCTTCTTCATGTGTAACACTGTCTATATAACTGTAAATAGCCACTTACAAAATAAAAATAATATTCTCTCTTCTACATTTTACATTATTCATTAAAAAATTATTTTATTTTTTAAAAGATATTTTTAGAAATTATGATTGTTTGATTTTTCTATTAGTTCTCAATATAAGGTTTGAATATCCTTGGATTGAATTCTCATTTCCTTCTCTTCTTAGTTTAAATAATATTAATATTAATACCCTCATAAGCTTCAGTATGATTTAATATTAGAATCTCTACTTTGTACAACACATTACTTAATTAGGTAATTGCTTCTAATTCAATTGATTTATTATATATATAAAAAAGAGATGAATCCTAAACTTTACAGTATTTAGATAAAAGAATGCAGAGGTACTAATATTAAATTTTATTCAATACAAATATTTTAAAAAAAATAATATTATATACTTTAAATGAATGAATATATGATTAATGAAAAGATTAAATAATTTTTATTAAATAAGGTATAAATAAATAGATTATATTTTTTTAATATAATTTTAATAGGTCCCAAATAAATTAATAATTTGTTTTTAATATACTTATTGTAATTCAATTAAAAATTTATTCAATCTATATATCCGTATTTATTCACTAAACTAATATGAAGCATCTTCTTATTCCTTGAAGGCGTTCACACTTTGTTATCCTAATCAACAAATGTCTAGTTAATAGGCAGCACTGTATAGTAGTACAACTGCAAGACTACAGCAGAATACTCCTACTTGCATCAGAAACAAGGCCACAACCAGTGCTACACAACACAATGAAACTACAAAATATGTCATTTACCAATTGATGAAAAAATGTTAAATCTTAAGATTATCTAAGTTGGCATATATACATAAAATGTCTAGTGAAAAATAAGTTGTTTGTATGTCAACCACACAGTTTGATACATCAAATTACAAAGTAGTAATCCTATGTTTCTTCAAAGGTGTGTTCAATAATTTATTGGTTATTCATTAGAAAGAAAGACAAAGGTTTAGTTGCGTGCTTAGATGAACTTAGCTTATAATTATAAAATCACGTTCAATGACGTGAAAAGAATTGTCATCAATTAGGTCTTACATAAGGACAAATCTTTAGAATATGAAGGTATGAAACTTTTCGCATTTGTTGAGCATGATGTATATCTACGCACAAATTTTCAATTTTTGTTGCATAAAGCAAAACTTTCACTATTGAAAGACGTTGTCACCAACATAAGGATTGCATCACTTATTTGTTTTACCTATTGGTTTGTAGGGGAAAAAACAACTAAAGAGTAGTCCAAAAATGAGAAAGCGTTTTATATTTTATAGGACTAGTCTAACTTTTATGTTGTCTTCTTTCTAATTTTTTATTAAATAAAAATTATTGAGTATTTTTATATTTTAAAATGTTAAATATTCTTACTTACTTATAAAGTATTAAGAGAATATTTTGGAAAGTCTTTAACATGTTTTTGTGATGTCCACAATTTTTACGGATATTTGATTTTAATTTTAATTTTGTTTTTGTTTGTTTCTATACTTTTATAATTTTTTTTGTCTTATTCCTTTTATTGAGTTGATACTAAATATGGATCGTATAATTATTTACAGGTAGTTATTATAACATTTAAAAATTCATATAATCAATTAAAAAAATTATGCAACTTTTTAAAAATTATATAATTTATATATTTAAATTTCAACCATTTATGATAAATCTAATAGTCAAATTTTGTTTCATTTACCCTTACATAAAAAAATACTCTCTTCATATATATATATATATATATATATATATATATATATATATAACTTTTAATCTAATAATTAGTTTTCAAAAAATTATCTAATAAAAAATTAGCATAACTTATCTCAATATAATTTAAATATTTACACCACTTAAAAATTGAGTCAAAATATGTTGACATAAAATGTTAAAATTAAATTCTTATATTAATTAATAATTTTTTATAATAAATAAATTTTATTAAATTAACTGTTAATTTAAAAGTGCTTATTAGTGTCTTATATTAGAGGATCAAAATAATCCATAGTTTTAGAAGAAGCATTAAAATTTTAATTCTATTTTTTAAAATTATAAAATTTTTATAATATTTTAATTCTATTTATTTTTTTAAAAAAATTGTATAGAAAATAATGAAGATAAAAAAATTCAGTTTTTTTGATAAATTATATATATAAAAAAAAACATTTTCTAACGTCGAACAAATTTCTGAAAAGCGAAAATTTCCCGGGCAAGTTTAATTTTTAGTCATAATTTTAGTTTATAAGCATCAAATGAGCAGTGTTCCAGTGGGCATGCCGGAGTGGTTATCGGGCATGGCTAGAAATCATGTGGGCTCTGCCCGACTAGAAATCATGTGGGCTCTGCCCGCGCAGGTTCGAATCCTGCTGCTCACGATTCAAACTATTCCTATTTTTATGTATTTTTTTATTTTCATGGTTACTTTATTGGAAACCTTTACTCTCAAGTTATTTTCCCTAATCTTTTTAATAGAAAAATGATTATAATGCATGCTACAGAATTTTTAGTGTTACCTCAAAAAGTGTATTAAAAGTTTATATGTTAGATTAATTTGTAATCAAAATAGTGTTAAATAATACAAAAATTCACGAAAGTTTATTCTTTTTCTTTCGAGATTAAATATGCAAAACTCCGTTTAATAATTTTTAATTCGTGCATTTTGATATTATATTTTTTCTATTTTGACATTACTCTTTATAATCATCATATATTATTCATATATTCATATTTCTTTTCATAAATTGTTTTTCTTGATTATTAAAGTAAAATACATTATTATTATTATCATCATCGATGTTCACATGTTAGATTCATTTGTAATTAAAATAATACTAAATAGTACAAAAATTCATAAAAGTTTGTTCTTTTTTCTTTGAGATTAGATATGCAAAACTCTATTTAGTAATTTTTAATTCGTGCATTTTGGTACTATATTTTTTCTGTTTTAACATTACTCTTTATAACCATCATATATTATTCATATGTTCGTATTTCTTCTCATAAATTGTTTTTCTTGATTGTTAAAGTAAAACACATTATTATTATTATTATTATTATTATTATTATTATTATTATCATCGATGTTCACATGTTAAATTTATTTGTAATCAAAATAATGCTAAATAGTACAAAAATTCACGACAGTTCATTTTTTTTCCTTCGAGATTAAATATGTAAAACTTTATTTAGTAATTTTTAATTCGTGCATTTTGATACTATATTTTTTCTATTTTAACATTGCTCTTTATAGTCATCATATATTATTCATATGTTCGTATTTCTTCTCATAAATTATTTTTCTTGATTGTTAAAGTAAAACACATTATTATTATTATCATTATTATTATCATCATCGATGTTTGTTTAATAAAAAAGTTATTGGCTCAACAACTTACCATCTTATAATAAATTTAAATGACATTAGAAACTTGATTTTGAAAATTTAATTTTAGCTAAACTCAAGTTTAAATTAATGTTATTTGTGTTTTAAAATTTTATCTTAAAAAAAATTATAAAAAAAATTAAAATAATATTCTTCACTTAATGCAATAGTAAGATAGAAAATAGAAGAAATGTTAAACTTTTTTTAAAATTTTATAAATTTTAATTTTATAAAGTGTAAAATATATATATATATATATAAAAATAGAAGAACGACGTATATAAGTTTATACTAGTTTCTCTCAAATCTAGGAGTTACGTCTAATCCTTAACACTATAGTAAGATTTCTATTATATATAAAACATAAGGTAGATATTTCACCACCTAATTATTAATAAATAAATCTACTCAAAATTAAATTACTCTAAATAATTTATAATATTGTCTAAAACTCTTTAAGAAAAATCAAATCACACTCTAAGTGTTTTCTATTCTACCTCCTCAAGCTAACAATAAATTTTTTTTACAAAGAAAGTATATAAAAAATTTGGTAATTGTGCAAGATTTTTTGAGAATGTTTTGAACATTTTTCTTCTTTATATTTTTTTTACATAGAAGTGTCTTTAATTTATAGAGACATGAAAATGTTTACACTAGACGCAACTATTTGTCAATTAGACTCATCAAGTTGCTTTTCTATAATGCATTCTAAATGTGTTTAGGTTCTTTTTGTATTAAGTGTACTTTTAAACACTTTGTATTATTGACTTGTTCTACTTTTTTATTTAATGTGCAAAGAAAAATACAAAAAATTGTTTTTGTCTTTTCTACATTATTGTCTCTTGTTCTTCTCAACATTAGCTTTAGCTTTTATATGTCAACTCCTAGTATATCTTCAATTTTGATATCTTTGAAGTTAAAATAACTTTCCAATGACTGAGTAGCTTGTATTAGTGGTTTGATGCCTTGACCATCTTCAAAGATTATGGTAAATTATGTATTGGATAACTTGTTGCTTCTAGAGAATTTGCACTCTATTTCTAGATAGCTTATACGTATATTATCTTACTAACAATACTAAAATGTTTGAACATACTAATTAGGATTTCAAAGAATTCATCTAAGATAGATATGTTTTTTTCTCCATCAAAATTTAGGCTTTCCATCTTTTTGAAAACTTGATTCAACAATCTCTCCCTTTTTATAATGACAAATACTATGTTCTTTAATGAATAATATTGAATATTTATTGAACAAATAACTCACTCATCATTGAATACAAATCAATTTCAAGATAAATGACAAGACATGGTGAATTATAGCATAATTGAACAAATACTCATATTTGTGAAATAAAACTATTTTTATATACAATAATCAATAATATTTATACTTATGAACCAAAGACAACATATGTACATTTGCATATTCTCCCCCTCTGTCTTTATAAACAAAAAATGAATATAGTAAAAAAGATTTTTCCTTAAGCTTATGGCATCATTGTCTACTTGAGACAAGATGCTCCAATTAAAGGATCCTAGCAGAGAGACCTTTAATGACAATCTACTCGTGACGAATGAGTTGTTTCAGTTATTTAATTTGAGCTTATAGAGTTTGTTATTGATGGTAAGTTAAGGTGTAAGAATGATTAAAAAATAGAGATGAAGGTACATATGCACGAGAATGTTTATAGTTTCTGTATTGTGGATGAGGTAGTAGAATAATAACTTAAAATAAAAAAGAAAGATGAGTTTGGGAGTAGCCACAAAAACTAATAGCATAAAATCTTTTGGAGGTTTATTAATGGCCAAGAGTGAAAGAAATAAAAAAGAGAATGTAGAGTATGAGATGCACAGTAAAAGGGTTAAGTCGTAGTAGACTCTTTGTCAATGTTAAAGAGACCACATGAAGATGCTTCAACCATTATTGGAGGCATGTGATCTAAAAGGACAAAATTGACGTCAACTTCATTTGCATTAGTTTGTAACCATAGTAATCGTAGTTCTTCATCTGTTAAGAGATAGGGAGTAGTGATGTCTGAGTAAAATGACTTTATTGTTATCAAGAATAGTCTATAGATAAGAAGTCAATCAATTTGAAGCAATGAAGATGTAGATAGTTAGATAATGCATTTGCCTAACATCTATTTAGAAGCATAATGAACTTTACTCATTATTTTACCAATCTTTGCTATGTGAATAATTTATTGATGATTCACTTGTCTTGAGTTGAGAGTAACCTAGTTTTGTCTAACGCTTTCTTAGCACTAAGAATTGGATGGAAGAGGAAGTAGATTCAATGAGTTAAATTATTTGATCTTCAAATGAAGAATGTCCTTGATATGCTTTTAAATATAAATATATATATATATATATATATATATCTGTGTGTGGGGGACATGATTTTTTTACATCGGTATAAGTGCAAAAACTCTTATTTAATTTAAATCTAACGGGTTATAATTTATTACTTCACTTAACTGTTATATTTAAGTTAAATAAAAAGTTTAAATTGAGTGAAAGAGTTTTTAAACTTATAGCAGTGTAAGAAGATCTTTTATATATATATATATATATATATATATATATATATATTTTAAAGAAGAGTTGATTTTTCCTTGCACCTCCATGATTTAAGTATTTATAAAAAGGGTAGAAGTCGTAAGATATTGCCTCACTTGCTCTTACCATGTGATCAAGATTTCATGATTGAGTATTAGTCATGTGACAAAAATGTTATTTTCATATGTAACTCAATATTTTAAATATGCTTTTATTATATGACTTTATTGCTGTACATAGTGTTATAAGGGTATACGGTGGTGTATATAAAAAATTCGGTCAATTATAGTTGTCTTCTCAAAGTACATAGAATTCATAAATTTTTTATTTGAAGGTAAATTATTGAAACTATTAATTTTGAGTTTAAATGACTGTTTTTACCTTTAACTTTTTTCCCCTTAATCTTCAAAATTTGAACAAGTTTTATCCTTTTTGTTTTTAATTTTTTTTGTTACAATACTACTCAGGAATAATTTGATTTGCAATTCACCTTTAATAATTCAAGATAGTTTTAAAATATTAATATTGCATCGCTAAAGTATATTGGTGAACATTGATCATTTTCTTATTTGCATTGAAAGTAATTGTTGTGCATGAAGCATAAGTATAGATCATAGTTTAGTTATTTATTTGTGTCTACACCGTTCAAGAATCAATTTATCATTCCTGATTTATGGAGAAGAATTTTGTTTCTCTAATGAGAAGATAGATTTTTTCTTATAAATAGTTTTAAAAATGCCAAAACTTGTTTATGAAGAACCTTTTTGAATATTATCTTCTATCTTTTCAATTGTAAAGGCCAATAAGTCAATTTTTTTCTATATTATTGCCAATGTTAACTGTTTAAAGAATAAACTTATCTAAATTAGCAAGTTTTCTCAAATGAAGAAAAGTGATAAGCTGAAAGTATCTATTTGTACTATACAGGGATCAGTTACTATATTAACTAAACCATTAAAAAATATCCACTAGCTAATTCAATGACATTAGTTTTGCATGAAATAAAAACTTGGAAAATCAATCCTACTTAACATGATTTTGAAACAATTAATATTGGTATCATACTAAATATATCCTATTTTTGTTTAGATGAATACATGAACGAGGCTCAGTTAAGTAAACATTTATTTTGAATGACAATTTTAATGTGGTATCTTATTTTTATGTGTTTTATTTTAGAGTGCATTATGATATATTACTAATTAAGTTAATCACACTAGTATTATCATATCTAATGAAATGTGATTGAGTTGAGACTATAGTCTAAAAGTTGTTTCATTTAAAGCATTTGTGATCAACAACTCAAAACTTTTTATATATGTATTTACGTGAGAATCTGTATGAGATAACATGCCTCTGTATTATTCATTTGTTTAAATATATTTTTTATCTTTATAATTTTATAAATTTTAATTTTTAAGATCAATACTTTTAGTACCTAAAAACCTCTAAATAATATAATATGGCCAATAAAGAGACTATTACATATTGATTATTTACGTAAAAATCTCAAATTAATTTTTCATTCATAACGAACAAAACGTTTAAGAAAATAAAGGTTGAAAAACAACAATAATAATAATAATAATAATTAAAGAAGCAAGAAAAAGATTTTAAAACAAAGATTACAAACTCACAAGAGAGCAATACTTGCGTTATTTATAAAGTAGAGTCTTAGTAATTGATCCCATTACGCAAACTTAAGATACAGAAAGAGAGATACTACTAATTAGGACTATAACTCTTCTGAGCATTCCCCTAATCTATTTATTGGATACACTATATAAGGGAAAACACATTAATTTTATGGCAGTGACACATATAATAGTAGCATCATATACATATGCAACTATCAAACGCCTGCATACACGTCTAGTGCATTTTCGTTGAGAGTTGAAACAAAGTACTGGAAATAATCCCCATAATTAAATGGCCTGTAACGTAGAGGGTGCATTTTGTCGTCCACCAACTCAGGGGGTACCTCAATCTTCACCTCTTCCTTTGGCATTACAAAAAATCCAAATGAGTACCTTTCTTTATCTCCACTCATTATCACTCTGTGTGTAACTGCGTGAAGTCTCCCATTGCTCCATGCCTATAAAGGAATTATCCTTAATTAATAAGCATCCCATCTTACTAGATGTACAAGAGTTAGGGTATGCTGATTTCAACTTTAAATAAACAATTAATTTAGAGATTATGTAAATAAAATAACATTTGTAGAGATTTTTTCAAAACTACTTTTTGAAGTTTCTCAAAATAATTCAAAATCTATTATTTTAACCTTATGATTTTTTTTAATTGAAGTATACACTATTATTAAATCACAAATTATTTTTTAAAATTCATATTTAAGATAGTTTTTAATTAAGTAACATTGTAAAAAAAAATTACACTAATAATTTATGAAAATTAAACTATTTTTTTAAAGGAAAAAAAGAAGCTTACCCAAATTAAACATGGTAACATATTTCAAAAGTAATCTTTTAAGACCAAAATAATCAAAACAAACAAGCTCTTAACTCATATACTATAGTATAATGTCATATGGGGGATATATGTATACCTTCAGTATGTCACCAACAATGATCACAAAGCCTTCTTCGGGTATCTTCAATTGAATCCATTTGTCTGATTTAGTTTGAACCTGAAGACCATGGACTTCATTTTGGCACAAAATGGTTAAGGCACTTTTGTCGGTGTGAGGCAATAAGGCAGCTTCAAAATCTTGGTTGCCTTCAGGAACTTTGTACCTCATCAACCGTAAGTTACTAGTGCTGTTCATCTCTTCAATATCCGAAGTGTATTGCTTTGGAAGGTCATAACCCTCTACAATCATCTTTAGGATGACCCAACTCAGTTCATGCAACTTGGAGCTTGTGGACTTCAGTGTCTCACTATATACCATTCCAACCCGAGAAGATTGTAAAAAACATGTATTTATATGCACGTACGTAGTTATATTAATAAGTTGTTTGACTATTTCTCCATCATTGCTACTAAAATTCATCCAACTTCCATGAAATTGGAAAATAAAAATTAAAGTATTATTTATTAATGTATTTTTTTATAATTTTAATATTTTTAATGTATTTAAATATAATTTTCATTAATTAGGTATATATTCCAGTGTTACACAACTTACATGCAAGCATTGCTTTATTAAAAGAATGTTTTATGATATGTTTGGAAAAAAAATAAGAGGATAAGCTACCTGAAAACTAAAAGATGAAAGTAAAAAATTAAAAATTTGTGTTTATAAATTATTATTATTATAAAAAATAGGTTTTGATGATTTTATTAAATAATTTTATTATTTTGAACATGATAGAAGGAAAGATATTAATTAAAGTTATAGAAATCAAATGAGTAAAGAAGAAATTATTAAAAAATAATAGGGATAAAAATAAAAAATGCTTCCAACTAATAGCTAAAAACAAGCATTTTAAAAAATACTAGTTAAAGTAATGTTAAAAAAATGTAAATAACTACTTATTTTAGTTACTTTATCAAATGTAGTTATTTTTAATTTTATAAAAAAGTTTACTCTTACTGGAGAACAACTCCAAACATTTTATAACCTTTCTATGTTTCAAATTTTACTGCCGAAAACTCTAAAAAAGAATTACGGATTGAAACGAGTGTATTAATACATTTATTTCATAATTTTTAGCACAGTCTAACGTCATTTTAAAAAAATAAATATTTTTTTAACTAGTATTCTTAAGATATTAGTCAAGCACTCTCTTTATTTTTAAAAATTACGACAAAAATGCCATGTGGAGTGTGGATTCACAAACATTTTGAAGGATAAGCCCAATTTAATATGATAACGGCAGATAATAAAGGAGTTGGGTGGGTGTTACAGTCAATGAGATTAATTCGATAAGGATCAAAACACTTCGTTCATATCGCTCATTTTCGATTCTTGTTCCCAATATAATACAATTCTCTTAATTGCCAATCTTAACTCCTACTGTAAAATTTAGGAAACTGAATTGACCTCAGCACCACTCCTCTAAACTTTAGCTGAACATTAAATACTGCTCTATATATATATATCCATTTCTCTCTCGTGTAAATTTTTATTAAACACATTCACTAATTAAAATTATTTCTTAAGTGGAGGATTTGTAGGTTCAAAAGAAGAAAGTGGAATGAAATGAAGATGGGGTTAGGATTGGGATTTGTGAACTTATTAATGTGTCTTGTTAGAAACCTTATAATTAATTTGTAAACTAATTAAAACAAATGGCTTGATTATAAAACATATTGTAAAAGCATCATAACTTGAAAAGGAAATACCATTGCACCCCAATCTTAGAGATGCAAATATGTACCACTGTCTTATGATACAAACTGGTTGCCTCATTTAATTAATTTACTGTTTGCCAGATATTATAACTTTTATCATACCAACACACACCACATTTAATCAACCTGAGTTAGCAGTCTTAATTGAGAGAGAGAGAGAGAGAGAGAGGAGAGAGAGAAAACAAGTTAAACATACACTAGGTAATATACGTACTAACAAGAGGTTAATTCATAAAAATATATATATTATATGTATACCTCACTGTGTGTGTGAAACTAAAAAAATGATAAGGAAAAGAAATACCAGAAAGAGGGGTTTCCTTGAGGCCACATGAGGTTAGTGAAGGCCTGAGCATTATCCAAGAGAGGAGCATCATCAATACCAAAGCTTTGACTCAGAGGAATTATGGGGCTGTCACAATTGTAGCTCCTATAAGGTTTTGGGCTTGTGTGTTTCCTCTTAGTTTCTTCTGGTAAATCAAACAAATCTTTTATTGCAATAAACATGTTATCACGTAGACTCTGAGGTATCTTATCATGCACTAAGAGAAAACAACCATGACTCTCACATGCTTCTCTCACTTTCTTGCTCATTTTTTTCCAATCCTCACTCCCTTCCTCTAAACCCAACACATCCATGGAAAAATCCAGACATGGGACAATGTCATCACTCTCACTACCCATCTCTCTCTTGTTGGTAGTTCCTTACACTACACAAGATTCTTCTATATATAGCGAGTTAGTCACACAAAAGCCTAACATAAAAGCAGGGCCAGAGACAAAAGCAAAGCTACATTTATGGAAAGGGACAATGAGAGATCGATAAAGTCTCGTCACATATCAAATTCAATGTGAAAATTTCTTTGAATATCTATTTAATGGCATCGTTTAAATAAATATTTATGTGAGGATGTTAATATGTTTTCACATTATTGTTTTTATTACTTTCATATAATCACTCAAACTTTTACCTCAAAATATTGGTCCAATAACTCAAACATTAGAGTTATTTGCTTGTTTGTAACTTACGTATGAGTGCGAACTCCAATGTGATAAATATAACAATGTTTATTTGAAACTTCTGTTATTTCAACCGTTAAAAAATTAATATTATATGTTTTACTGAATAAAATTATTTTTATTTTTCTTTACTTTTTTTTTCTCTTACTTGTATTTTAAAAATACATACTAAAAATTAAATTTAATCTTAAATTAAAGACTCTTTAAAAGAGTTCATTATAGTTATTTTTTGCATTAATTGTTTTTTGTAAAACTATTTTTAATAGAGACAAAAAAAATAATTAAGTATAAAAAGAATAAAATAATAAGTACTAATAACTTTAAAGATAAGTTTAAAAAGTCAAATTACTGATAAATTTGATGATATTAATAAAAGTAGTTATACTTTTTAATTTTTATACAATAATTAAAATAATTTTTATTTAAAACTAAAAATAATATAAAAACGACACCTAAAAGGGTCCGTTAAAATTGTACCGCAAATAAAAATATGTTAAAATGATTAATAAAATTTAAAAAAAAGTACTTCTCTGAGACTTGCAGCCTTATTGACAGTTGCGCCACAACCACCAAAAAGGCGAAAAATTCTGGATGATGCCATAACCGACTTAAAAGCGAAGAAAGTAAAAAAAGGGAATGAAATATCCATTTCTACGGGTAAAGAATTATTAAATTAAAATCAATTTCAATAAAAATTAAAGTTCTAAATGTTTTTAAATTAATAATATTTTATGAGTTTTCTAAAAATTATATATATTTAATATATATAATTTAAAAAAATTTAAAATTAAGGTATATAATTTATAAAAATATCTAATTTTAACATTCTAAATATAATTTAATATATCTCATGTTGATAGAATAAAAGTATTTATTTTTTACTATAGTGCAACGACAATCAAATAAAAATTACTTGTTATAAATTTCAAACAAAAGGAAATAATAAAAGTACAATATTATAAGTATAATTTTTAATTTTTATTATGGGTCATTTTTTTAAACCTTGGTTCAATTAATTTTAAACTCAATTTGTAATTTTTAATTTGAATTCTTTACTAAAAATATGAAATTTTTTTAATGTCATCCCAAAAATAGATTATATCCATTTATGTGAATTACAAAATACCGAAGAGAGGAGTATTATATTATTTATTTTTTGAACTGTAAGCTTCTTACTTGATTTATAATAATTCAAAATGTTTGATTTGTAAATATAAATATTATTTGATTTATGAAAGATTAAAGATTTTATTTTAGTTGATAAAAATCTATTTTAATACTAGTATATTTTTATATATTAAAATATATATTAAATTGAATTTGATGTATATTAATGAGAAGGATAAACATGTCTAAATATAAATTTTATCTGTTTAATTTTATTTATTTATTAATATATTACTAATACATGTACTATTTTTTCTTGGATGCATATTAAAAATCGTCTAACAATATATATATTAAACTTAAATCGTCATTATTAAATAAAATTATCTTAAATAATAAAATTTAGTTTCTATTTTTTTCTTTATTGAACCATCTAATTTATATATATATATATATATATATATATATATATATATTTTGTTAAACATCAATATTTTATTAAAGATATTCAGAGTATAAGAATACTCTAACACGTTGTAACTCTAAGAGAAATTAACAATACATATCAAACAATTATTAATCCAATTCACAATAGATCTTTTCAAAGTTTTTGCTATAAGTAACTATCAAGATACATTTATCAAACATTTAGTCCAAATTTTGATTCTTTCATATAATTATTTTTCATAAATTTAGATCGAGCTCATAACTTAAAACTGGAATTGTGCTTCTTCCTTCTTACCTTGTGAAGTGCACTTCTAACATTAATTATTTCTTTCACTATCACTTTAACAACAATATTAGATTAAGGAGACGCTAGTCCTTAACTCAATACATGATTAACCTTGTCTTACCTATGAAAAGTTCTAATAATCAAGTCATTAAATTTATCAATAAACTCTTTTTATGTCACATCTTTGCCTCCAGTTGGTCTTTTGTCAATAACACTTAGTTGCTATAATCTTTCATCAGTTCCCATATCATATCAATTCATTTTCTTATAAGTTTTGACCAACAAAGGCGCATTTCGATCAACCTCTTTTTCAAATGCATTCTCAGTTAATCGCATAATATCTACATTATCATTAAAAATCAAGTTATTATTTATATTCACTTCATAATTTAAATTCTAAAAGTATAACATAATGATTTGTTTGAAAATAATCTGACACCACTCTTCTTTACATTTTTCAATTAAGTCTTAATTTAAATTTTAAGTTTTTATGATGTATTTCTAATTTTAAATTATTTATTTATTTTATTCACTCTTATTTAATATATTTAAATTTTATTATTAATCATAAAAACATTTACTCTTTTTTAATATATAAACTCATCAAAATGTTATTTTAAGTTAATAATACTCAATAAATTTACCAATATAATATACTATTCAGAATAGCATAGTTGAAGAGACGGGGGTTGAAGTGTAATAAAATTGGTGTAAAAAAGTCAGCACTCGAAGAATTATAAAAAATTGAGAAGAATAATTTTCAATTTTCTTACAATATTTCTTTACTAGTTGGATTAAACAGAGAAAAACATTGAATATTTTTTTTATATTTTGAAAATGTTAATATAATGTTCATTTAACTATTTATCAAACAAATAAAAAATAGTAGAAGAGAATAAAACATAACCCATTACGAATTAAAACTTTTTGAAGTTTGTAAAATAATAGGAAGAGTGAGGTATGGAGCCTGAAGGGTGCCACCCTGTAAAGCCCGAATAAGTTCATGCATGCAAGACATTTGTATTAGATTCGTTATTAATTAAATATGCTATCTATTAAATTACAATAAATGTCTGCTTAATTTTTATTTTTCATTTATTTTCCAATTAATGCTTGGTTGGCTATTACTATTTGTAACCGTACCCCTTTCTTACAAGCAAGGCAAGTGCAGTTTATTGAATGCGTCTATGTCTAATTCTTTGTTCAAAAATAGCCATATAAACACTTGCGTGGTTTCTATGTAATAAAAACTATTTCCTTTTTTTAAAAAAAATACGCACAATATATATATAGTAAACAAAGAATAATTAGTGTTTTATTATTTTGAATTTGTCATTAAATAGTATTTGGTTGCTTTCTTCTGATCATGTAGTTCATAAAAGAATCTTCCCACATATATATAATTAGTTCTTTTTTATAAAATTTAAGGCTTCGAAGGTTACCCTATTTTCAGATAAGTTACATTTAAATATCATTATTAGGAAATAAAGCATTAAAATGATACTTAATTCTAAATTAAGTTGAATCAACGTTTAAGGTGCTTCTAGCTAGGAACTATTATTGACTTTACATATTGTAAAAGGCACATCCATTGCTAATTCTAAATTAAGATGTCAAAATTTACTCCATATATAGCTTATATATACCAGTTTAAACTCAAGAAAAACTATGGTTAGTGGAAAGAGACACTAATTTATAAAACAACATAAACTTAAATCTCATTGTCGATCAAGATCAAGAAATTGAAACTCAAAGTTGCAAGCATTTCTAGTTAACATGTCTATTTCCAACCTTAATCATTAATTATATTTTTTATTTTAATTCCATAAATTATCTCGGTTAAATTATTATTTTTATCCAACTAAATTTTAATATTTTTTCTATATACACATTTCAATTGAGTGTGTACCAACATCACTAATTAAGATATGAAGGTCTGCTTGTTGAGTTGCTGTCGCTACTTAAGAGTGCCACCCGTTATACACATCCCATTTCTTTTAGTTTTTTTTTTAATAAAGATTATTTTTGTTTTATTTATATATTTTTAAAAATTATAATTATAGACAAAACTTAAAATCACTTTTATTAGATTAGCGTAATTTTTACTTAGCAATAACTAAATTAATAATATGTTGTACTGATATTTATTATGTAAATAATATATTAATATTCAAAAAAATTATTTGTTAATATGCTATATTAAATTATTAATGAATCATATTTATATTGTGGTGCCAATTGGTGGTATGAAAATCATTACCTTTCCGAACCCTTTTTACCTTTATTGAGGCCGTAGCTAATGCCTATGTGCATGAACTTTGGCGTGTCTACTTTAGGTGGGGAAAATCAACCAGAAGGTAGGGATGAGAATTTCATCTCGATTAGTATGAAGTAATAAAATATAAACATTATTATAAAATAAAGAGTAATTTTTAAAAGGAATTAAATAAAATATAAAATTGCAAATAAAATCATTAATTTAAACTCACATAAAATAATAAAATATCAAATTTTAGTTTAATATATGTACAAAATAAAAAAGAAATCTGTTTGAAACTTTGATTTGAATTATATATATGTGATATATATATATATATATATATATATAGCAATTACTTAATTACGAAAAGTTTAAGACGTTTAGTTTACCTATGTAATTACTAATGTGTAACTCAATTTTTCTATAACATACAATTTTGTTTCAATAACTTTTATTAAATCTACTAATAATAAGTAAGAAAAATATAAAGTATTAATGGATTTTTTATTTTACTACCTAATTAAAAATAAATAAATTATTATCAATCATTTAAAACCTTCAAAGTCTATTTATGAAA